TATAATACATATATTATATTAAATGTTTCTTTTCCAATTTCATTAAAAAACGTTATCGAAAATGATGACTACAAAAGAATGAGTGTGCACCACATATTTCAAAGTAATATCAGAACATGACGAAGCATCAAAAACCCTGTGTATGACGAGAAAGATTGGGAAAGGAAAATCGAGCAAAGTATGATCTGTGGTGAGCGTCACGAAGATCCGGCGGGAACATACATCGAATAGTCCTGAAAAATTTAAGGCCATCACGTTCACAAGTCGATGAAGGCGAGAATGACCAATGATGCGCAATAAACGAAACGTGGGGTACCTTACGGGGCACCTTCGATTTTTACGAGCGCGAGAGTCGTCATTATAAATGACGTACGCGTGCTAAGAAAACCGCTGTTACATAAAGCATCGATCGCGGTAGAAATTTTGAACAAAATATATAACTAGGTGAAAAATTATTATTATTCTTTTTCAGAATTAATTTCGGTTTGTAACTAAGATAGATTAATCGGATTAATCATATAATTATAATATTAAGAGGCTGATACTGTAAGAATACAAATAAGATTTTGTAATAATAAAGAAGATTCAATTTTAAATATATATTCTCTCATTTAAACTTAGATGTCTTTATTGCGAAAACTGATATATTGTAATCAGTATGTTAAATTAAAGAAAAAGATACTTCACAATCAGTGTTTTAAAATGCTTACATATTATTATATGTAGTAAGATAATTTTGCGTACTGTTTTATCGTTTACATATAACTCTAATAATAAAGTTCAGATTTTTTTTAAATATACGCCAGACATTTTTACTGGTTATAAATGGCTATACGAAAGAGATTGATAGCTGGTTAAATCATTCGAACTTATGAACTGACTTCAGAAGAATTTCAGCGCTGTATGTTGCTACGTTTACGATTAAATTATTTTTTTTGTCGTTGAAGTCTAACTTTTCATCTCTGAAAAAAAATACGTTAATGTAAACAGACTTAACTAGCAAATTGCAAAAGCGGTTCCAATTAAAAATGAACTTGACCTTTTGCTATCTAATGTATGTTTATCTTCCGTTTGGTTATAACTAACTTCGGTTATAAGTAATAGAAATATGAAGTAATAAAATATAATATGTTAAATAATAAAAAAATTATTATAATACGATAATTACTTCCATTACAAAAATATTATTAACATAATTATTAAATTATTAATATAATTTTTATATATATTATAAAAAATATTTTAATTATGCGTGATAATAAGGAGCGCGAGCTCATATTTCAGTGAGTTCACCGAGTGGAATAACAAAGATATTGTCCGACATATTCGCATTTGTTTATTCGGTTACAATTTTTGGTTTTTCTTCCTTCTTCCTTCCGATTATATCCGATAATTTTGATTTATTGGGAATGCGGTCTTCTATCTCACGATTCTTCGCTAATATCTTTTTAGACAATTTCGTTTGGACTAGCGTTACGCTATTCTCAGATTTAGTAAGATGAATTTTCGAATTATTTTGCAACGCGGGCGCTGTCGTATTGATTTCTCGATCAACGTTGAATTTGATCAATTGTTCTTGTTCAATTTTCATCGTTTCTTTTAGTTTCGTATGAAGATCGAGTAAATATCGAAAGCAAGCTTTTATTTTAGCAATCATTTCCACATTTTTCTCCAGCGAATCGTACAGAAAATCGATGACATTATACTTGTTTGCTTGATCGCAAGGATTTTCCGGTTCTGAATTTGTAGAATGCTTTAGATATCCTTTTTCCGATTGTGTGAATCCTTCGTTCTCTGTCCTCTCAGATCGGTGAGTGTCTTGTTCCTTCGAAGGTTTATCAGACAGATTAGATCTCTCTGACAACAAGAGATCTATAAAGGTCTTTCGAAGAATATCTTTCACGTTGAGATTATTTAATAATGTGCCGAAAAGTTGCCACTTTTCCGACATTGTTTTCAAACTACTGATTTTGCACAATGTATCGGTAATTACGGAAACTGGTTTAATCTCGGACTCGCAAACCTTATCAAGAACGGGTTCATTCTTTGCTCGAGGTAATCTTTGTTTAGCAACGAACGGTTTTCGGAAGAAGGTAGAATCTTGTCGGGAATCCGTAGATTTGTCTGACACTGCGATCGTTGGTTCTCGTGTCCCGTGCGACTCGCTAAGAATTAACTCGTCTTCCTCTGTCACAGGCTTAACGATCTCCGATGTAAAACTCGCTTGATAACCCGCGCACAGGGGCACCCCGATGTCGGGCAAACATCCTCGCGCCACCAGAGTGGCGGTAACCGGCGAATCCAGGACCCTCGTAACGTGTATCGGTCCGGCCTTTGTATGTTCAGGAATCGACCCGGTCAAGTGCCTGTCTTGTCTGGCGGATCGCCGTTGCCGTACATTGTCCAACTCCGGTGTTTTCGAGCGCAATTTCGACGTTCTGCCGGGGTCCGCCAATTCGTCGTCGATTACCAAGTCCGAGGATTCTAGCGGCAACGTGCCGACAACGTCGGAGGACAATGTCTCAACATCGCTAACGATCCCTTCCTGCTCGTCCCCCTTCGAGGTTTCGCCTATCTCAACTTTAATTGGTTTCGTTTGACCGGACTCGTCCTCGTCAACAAGCCCCTTCGCGCTCCGATGTTCGTATTCTGTTTGAAGTTTTCTCAGTGAGGAACACGACGGTACGTCCTTTTCGGCCATTATGCAGACCGGTTGATGCCGTCTCACCCGTGTTTCTTCCTGGGCAACTTTGTTTCCTATCCGGAAACGCGTCAAATCTACGCCGAATACACTCGGGGCTATTGCCAGAAGTAATATCACCAATAGACAGTTCGTCATGGTCAATTTATCGCGGTTGTACAAGCTTGATCGAAATACTCCAATCTCACGATCACGAAACGCACAATGCACGAATCTTAAAGATAAACTGACCTCTTTTTAAGGCGCACGAACGCTTTTATAGCTTAGGGAAGATTATGAAAAAGTAATGAGATTCTCAATTTTCGAGAATGGGACAGAAGTTCGCCTTCTTAATGGTACGATTTCTAGGAAAATGGACGATTACACGAATGATTAAATGACTTTACATATCTGATAAATAGATTTACTATGCACTAATGGTTGCCGGTTAATGTCGCGTTAATCACCTAGAAGAAGAGAGAGCCGTTTTTATATTTGAACATGATGTCTTTGACTTTCTCTCATTTATATTGGCTATAAAATGTATGACGAATATTTGAAATATTTATGACTTTTCATTTTTACATTGTAATAATACCTGGCTGAGAAATTTAGATATGAGATATAGAATATATTATTCTCTGTCTAAACTCTTATAATAAATATAAATATATAGAAAGTGCAGTAAAATGTTTGTATTAATAAATTTCTTATATTTACAAGTATATTATTGTATATAAGTTTAAATAAGTGCAAGTCATTGATAGAAAATATACAATCTTTTTATATATCTTTTTTTACAAAAGTTGTGTTAAAAATTTTTTTGCTATTGAATAATACATTTTCTATGGAAATTTAGTAATGTAAATTGAGTATGTATATAAATGTATAATCAGAAGCACCTGTACGAATGCAACCATATATGCACAACTCGTGCAAGCAAATATATAAGCAGTCACATGTAATACGTGTTTGCCGCGCTATAAAATGCTCATAAACACAAGAAGCATATTTAATAATATTTATATATTTTTTCATTAGTAAATTCGATAAAGTTTATTTACTTTTATATAAGTCTCATGCAAGACTCGAGCTAACTTTCTTCGTTTTCATGATTTCTAATGATTAAAACAGTCTATCGAAAAATCTGATTCTCCTATTCCCGAGTAATTCATACGGCTGATTAACACGTACATGTAAATAAAATCACATGCAGCAAAAAAGCAGGTGATTCCGAATACATCAAGTTAAGTGTAAAGTTTCTCGCGAATGCATCTCGCGAGCGCAATGCTCCTGAGAGGCAAAACGAAAACAGAATAGAAAGGGAAACAATGTCCCGTAGCGAGACGAAGAACAAGATGGTAGAGAAAGAAATGCCGATTGTCGAGAGTATCACGAGACAGAGGAAGAAAAAGAAAGCCGTGGAATCCCGAGTACACCTGGGCGCGGGAAACAGTACCCGCGAGAGACTGGAGGAGGTCAGAAATTCTCCTGGTAAAGGTAGATAGGTAACTACTCGCACAGAGAGAGAGATAAAGGAGACAGAGATATACATGAGAGAGAAAAAGAAAGATAGAGAGAGAAGAAAGAGGAGGAAGAGACCGCGTTCTCACCACAAAACGAAGAACGCCAAGGATGAAGGTAAGGTGTGGTGGAGGTGGAAGAAGAGCCGCCGATCTCCTCTCGCGCCGAGAGAGGCCCATCTCGAGAGCGGAGGCTGCGGTTTGAAAGCCGAGGCCGTGGCGCCTCGTTGCTCGCTGTTCGGTGCTGCTTCGCGGCACGACGTGTGCTCCAGAGTGTGCTCCACGGTGTGCTAACACAGTGCCGCGAGTCCGACCGACCGGTACCAGCGCGGTACCAACCAGTTGTTCTCCAGCCGCGTGTCCGCCGCCGCAGTCGCGGCCGCCGCGCCCGTTCGCCGTTTTGCCGCGAGTGCTCCGTCATTATTAACATCGGGCGTGTTCGTGTTAGGTGATCCGTCATAGTCATCGACGGGCTAGATTGGTTCCTCCAAGAGAGGCGTGCTTGAATAATCACGGAAACTTGTTTTCGAAAAGAGGAGGTACGTTGTTGACGCGCATACAACTTG